GAAGTCACTAGAAAGAAATGCCTGCTGGTCTGTACAGCTTGTCTCTTTCACCCAGAATTTGCACAAGATATGATTGTGACTAATTCCTAAATGCAAGGAAGAAGGGTAGAGAAAGACAAAATTCAGTAACTAGGAAATACAGTAAAGAGACAAGGAGAAGTGGACAGTTTTAATCAGGAAACAGATTATCATCAGTATTTTGACCAAATTCTAAGATACGTTGCTTTCAAAACTCAAGAATTGAATGGCATGAAAGAAACCATACAGAGGAGTTGATATACCAGGTAAAGTTAAAAAGGAGAAATTACATGGGCTGAAATTAGGTCAAATAAAAAACATGGATGCTAGATTCAAAAGAATATGAAAGAAGAGATAAAAGACCATAAACACAGTGGGCCCAATATTTTACTCTGCGGACTTATAGACATGAATAAGAATGATGAACAAGGAAAAGATGCCACCAAATATTATGTAAGGAAAGTTTTCAGAAGTGATGGAAATATAGATCTTCAAGATGAAAAGGTCTCAAACACAATAGGATACAAGGATCCATACACCAAACTGGCTGAAATTAAAAAGTAAAAACTGTTGAGTGACATTGAGTGTGCAAACCAAGTGATGATACTCATACATCTGCTTTGGGAACAATTTGGCTGTGTCTTACACAGCTAAGTATGTAGCAGTTATAAGATCCAGATATTGTACTCCCAGAGAATTAAAAATACATGAACACATAGAAACTGGTATATAAATAATAATGTTAGCTTTATATAATAAAAACCAACACTAGTGAAAATAAGATCATCAAATAGCTATTGATTGAACAGACTGTGGTATACTGGAACAGCATGCTATAGAAATAAGAATGGATAAACACCAGAAGTATTAAGCTAAATGAAAGAAATGAAACACAAAACCTGCATATGCTTTCTACAACATTCTGACAAAAAATAGAAGCAACAGAACTGGAAATAATTTAGGTGGATTCCTGAAACTAAAGATGAGGAGTTGGAGGTTAAAAAGAGGGTATGTAGAAACTCCTGGTGATATAAAAGTACTCTCATAATTGGTGTTGAATATATGATGATATAAATAAGTGAAAATTTGTCAAACTACATATCAAAAGAGTCAGTTAAGTTGTGAATTTCTCTTCAATAAGCCTATATTCAAGTTCATCAATAAAACCGGTAAGTTTTCTTGAATGCTAACAAAGACAAAGTTTTTTAAAACTCTAGTAGACACGCTATTAAATAGTTTATACCACCAATGAACAAATAAGAGGTCTGCACTTTCTAAAGAGAAAGAATAAATTATCCACAGAGAAATAAATGCTAGAGTACTTTCATGCACATTAGGAACACTGAATACTAGCAAATTGTTTGGATTTTCAAAATTGTAAGGGGCAAATAAATTTCTAACCTAGAATTTTATGCACCGCTAAGCTGTGGAGACAGGTAAGAACGAATGAACTTTACTTCCCACATGCCAAGTTTGAGAAAGATGTTTACAAGTGTTTTCCAAAAAAATGAAAGTAGATAAAGGAAGGATGACATGGTCAACAAAAACGGTAATTCAGCACAGCATAATAAAACCATTTCAGACGCAACATTGAAACTGGATTCAAGGGATAACAGAAAGGATCTGGAGAAGAAAGACTCACCAGAGTAAATAGTACACTGAGCATGCGAAAAGATGGGACATCAGATAAAGGTACAGTCTGCAAGACAACTTCAGATAAGGAAAAACAAACAATAGATAGTGTTCAGGAAAGCAAAATATCATGGTCAAGATTTAAGCAACCATGTAATATTGGAACTGAAACTCACTGGTTTTTAGAAAGACCATTTCAGTGGATTACAGTCACAATTCCACACATTCATAAGTAAACAGAGCAATTTGGAAGGGGCTTTCATTCCTACAGGAAAATGAAAATCAGGGCTGAAATCACAGAAAGTAAATTCCAAAAATTCATCAAGAAAACTCTCTGAGGTAGGAAATGAAACAGCAGAATTGCATGCCTGTGGAACCAGAGGTGAAATCTGAGCACTCGGTATAGAAAATTAATTTGATATAAAGGAGTGCATATTTTTCTCTTATCAAAATGTAAACAAGGAACATAAAACAAATTAAATAAAAATGTGTTGAGTTAAAATAGGGCTTTGATAGATTGCATATTACTCTGGAAAGCTTAAGCATGTATATCTTTCTCTAAATTCCCCCAAGGTTCCAGAGAACTCCTTACAGAGGAAACTACGCCAAGCCTGTCCCTGGGCCTGGCGTGTCACATTCTCTGTGCTCCCTTCCTCATTGTGCCCCAGTGTACTCTTGGTGTAACACCGTGACACGCTCATCTTAATGTGGTCTTCGTTTACTGACATTACACGTTGCCAGCTGGCACTGATTCTGCAAGTCCATAGCTCTGCAGCTAGATTTTAAAGTATGATGTTGGCCTTCCAAAATAAAGCTTACGACTAGGAAAAAGTCCTTTATTCTTTATTGACTTCTCTGCAAGATATTTAATGTTCATAAGTTCATGTAGTGTAATTCCTTTCTTTGCATCCATTTTCAGTCATGACATACTTTATTTGAAACTCAGTTGTATGCTGTCGCGTTTGGCATGGCTCAAACTACCCCTCCTCCTGTGATCATTTGTGATGTGATGCATCCTGTTAGTTCTTTGTCCTTCTAACCCCAAACCCAACATACCACATAGCTGATAACCACATATTATCAAATCTAATGCTGGACATCAGAGTCACGAAAATAAGTTATCTTCCCAGGCATTTAAAAAATCATTATCAGATCAACCACCCTGCAGGCAAGAGGAACAATGCACCAGACCTTACTAAATACATAATTCCTCAGAGTCTATGCTTTCTCTCTGTCCACCTATTACTTGACCTCCCTAGTATCCATAGGCTTTCAGTCTGTCACCTTCTGGTACCCACTGACCTCTCTGAAACCTATGCATAATTGTTTTTTTCTTTTTCTGATTCCTCTTTGTATCTCATCTGAAATACACAGCCAAACCTAACTTTCCCCTCATCAGAGCTCCTCTAGAGAATGGTTCTTTTTCACTATGAATATTCTTCAGAGAAAGACCTCAAGACTAAGCAAAAAAGAAAGCATAACAATAAAATTACACTGTTGCTTTGGAAAGTCAAAACATTTACAGGGGAAAGTAGACTTTCATATGCATTTGGGTCATGTACTATATTTTGTTGCTCAATCCATTTGAAGAGTAGATATCCCAATACTCCCTCCAGGAAAGGAAAATGAGGTAAAATCTGCTTGAAGTTCACTGGGTTAGCTATTTAGGCATTCATCAGTTATACAGGGATGGAATATTAAACATGTAAATTACCAAAAACAATACTACATTATGGAGTTACAACAATGAGCGGACTAGTATGTGAAAAGATTTGTTTGGAAAATCTCACAGGGGGCAGCAAGGTGAACAGGTCACAGCATAAAATGATAAATAATGAAAAGCAACAGGGTGCCTAATTAATCGGTAATAGTAATATGCAATATATGTCAGACTTGACATTGGGAAAGAAGAATCAGCCATCAAGGATGCCTCCTAGGTATCAATTCTGCGGTCAATGGGTTTCTAAAGAGCATCTGATGATAATCCTGTTAGGGTCCTGAAGGAACTCCTTTCCAAGGATATCCCTGAAAAACCTCTCATCAGTGAGCAGTATGGGAGATTGCCACAGGCACCGAGCTTATCTCAAGAGTTTGCCTGCTCATAGATTCTTTCAACTTGAAGAGTCACTAATTACAACCTCATATTTTAAACCCATTATAGAAGAAATTCAAGCCGCATGGGTGTTTGTCTACAAGCCAAAATTTGCTCAAGATAAGCCAGCGGTAATAATTTAACTTCAAGCTTAGTGGCTCTTGAACATATTTAAAGCTTGATGATTTAAGGGAGAAGGTGGTTAATAAATATTTCACAATTCTTTTCAGATGGAAAACAAAAGGTTTTCTTTCTCCGATTTTCCCTTAAACTTGTCATTATTTGTCAGGAACGATCAAAATAAATGCACCATGCTTCAAAGGAACCAGCACATAACAGACCAAATAGCAACAAGATGAATCCACTTGTCTCAGCAGACATATGCTCTGGGCACAGATGTTCAAAAAATGAAGGGCGGGCACTTGTGATAATGTATTGCATCATTTCTTTGACCTCAAGATACAAGCAAACAAGGGAAGCAAAATGTGCCACTCACCAGGCCATAAAAATGAAACCTGCCATGTGGGCTCTGATCTATCAAAAGAATTTTGTCTTTGCCAGAAAGATGGAGTATTTCCATCAGAATGTCAGTTATTTCCTGTCTTGTGTACACTTCGCTAAGAGGAATGGGATTGGGGAATAGAATAAAGGTTTTACATTTAATTTAGTTTAGCTAATCCATCAGGCCACATTTACTAAATTTTTCCAAACTTCTGAAAGGATGAGGAAGTCAGTATCCAGTCTCCAATGATAACCTTTATGTGTGCTTTGACTGACTACCATGAGCAACCCAGCAGGTGATTAATTTTCACAAAAAATTGGAGTTTAGCAAGATTACCTAATATTATGCATTACAGAGGCTACAGTACGGTTACCATCAGCTTCAGCTCTGACTCTAAATTCATGTGGGCATGTGCTACTTCTCCAGCAGCAGCAAGAGGTCCCCTATACAAGGTCTCTGGTAATAATGAATATAAGGAGAACAACACAAGGATGATACGGGGTAGCCTACATTTGAGCAATAATCCATGCGAAGTCGTATGATTTCTGAGTTGAAAAGGTGGGAATGTGAAGGGAAAGGTGTGTGAGTGTTGGGATTATGCAGACTCCAGTCTATCTCTGCACTCACACCTACTTACCTCACGACCCTGCAGAAACTGTATAACCTCCTCGCTGCAGGTATCTCATCCCTAAAATGAAGCCTTCCCCGTCTCATACAGTTTTGTGAGGCTAAAATGAGATGATGTGATTAAATTACCTGACAATATGTCTGGTACACAGTGTCTGCCCCCAAAATGCCAACTTCATGTCACTTCAAATTAGAGATGCTCTGAGATGGAGAAATTGTAGAGGATTCATTAACCAAGGTAGTGTCTGAAAGACAAGATGAAAGAGTTCTCATGATGAAGGCATTTATCAAGCTTCATACACACAGGTGCATGTGCCTGCACATAATTCAGTTTTATTTACTTGAAAACAATTTCACTTTCAAATCTCAATGATAGTCAGAGATTGAAGTAGCTGATATTCTACCAACAAGTATTTTTTAATAATTTCCTACTAGTCTCCAGCAGGATGGTTGAGTCATATATGCAGACTTCCAGACCAGCTCCCAGAGAGAATGAGGCCCAAGACAGCAATTAGGAGAATGCTGAACCAGGCTTCAAAGACCTTAGCTGTCACCCTTGTGATCACAACACCAACACTCAAATATGTTTTTTGAGAGGAAATATGTCATTTCTAGCTAAATATCATCAATTTTCCATTTTTTAAAAAAAAATATAATCTATATTTTAATGAAACTATAATCAGACAGAATGTAGAATGTACTAAAAACTAAACAGCATCCTAGGGTCCCCCAAAGGTACTAAAACCCCTGGTTTATATATGGTCTGCCAGCCTCTTACAGTGTAGTTACACAGTCCCTATGATTTTACCCCACCTTGACTTCAACATGACAGTGGCAATATTTTTTTTTTTTTAGCAGAATGGGTAAGCCACTGAAAAGAGACTGTGATATCAGGCTTCCCTATAAGTCAAATGTTTCTATGAAACAGTCACTCCACTTCTTGAAGGCTTAACTTTCACAGACAAAGTGAGGGTAATACCAGCAACGACCTTGCTACAGGATGGCATGGGAATAGAGGGAGATGACCCAGGTAAAGCACTCGGCAGGGTGACAGGGAGAAGATAAAACTCGGGAAAAGTAGCACCATTCCTAACTGACAGGATTTCTTTTCAATTGCAAATACCAAAAGGAAAAAAAGAACTGACTTCAGCAAACAGAAACATGATTTCTTTGAAAATGGAAAGTCTCAGTGCAGATGCGGCTTGAGACTCGATAAGTGAGGTGATTCCTGCTCAGCTCTCAGTCCAGTTCTGTCCACAGGTGCTAGATGATGTCAGTGGTGACAGCTCTCCTGCTCAGACCGGCAAAGGAAGCCTATTTCTCCTAGTGTGGTACCAGAATTTTCTCCGTTTGAAGCAACTCGGGTCACCTGTTCCCACAACAATGTCTTTGCTGAAGGAATTTTCTGCTGTGATTCGTTAGTTATGGTAGACTAAATAATAACATGCTACAATCTTAGTTTGTTACCTTACATGGCAACAATAATTTTGCAGATTAAATTAAATATTTTGAAGTAAAAGATTACAATAGATTATCTGACTGGGCCCAGTGTAATCATAAACATCTGAACAGAAAGAAAACTGAAAGGTCAGGATGAAGAGTACAGAGGCAACAAAAATTAATGATGTGGCTCCACGCCAAGGATTGCGAGCAAACTGCACAAGCTAGACATGACAAGGGTCATGTCATGTTTTCTTCCTGGGGCCTCCAATAGGAAGATAGTTCCTGCTAAATGACAAGTCAATTTATTAGCACTTGTAGAACCACTTTGGACTGCCTGGTAGACAGAGTCGTACATCCCTACATTTGTGATTGCTTGTCACAGTGGCACAGAGAAAATGAATGCCTCTGTCATGGATCATAGACCTATCCTCTTGGTGTTCAGGCACCAGGATGAGAATGGACAGAAATCATTTTCCAAGCAGAGAACATATTCTCTTATCAGACAAGACTGCCTATTAGAGGGAAGAAAAAAATTCTAGAGAGTTCAGTGTATTCATGTAGGCTTTATTGCTGCTATTTCCTCCTATTGCTATTCATTTTATAAATTCCTTATACAGAACACTCTACGCACTGGATACACTCTTGAGTAGCTTTGTCATAGCACATACACTTGTTCTTCTGTATTTGTATGTTGAATTCATGAACAGAAGTGACATTGTTTGTTTTCTGAGACAGGCATGATATTTGGATTACAGTAAAGTGGGCAGCAGAGAAGCATGTGATTTCTCTATTATTATAGACTTCCTCATGAAGAAGGCATTTGTTATCAGTAGGGGACATGATCTCTCCAATGAAAAACTGATTCACTTTGGTCAACATAAATGCTAGGCTTTCTTCCACTAGTTCATCTTGAATACCCTACTTTTTCATTTGAATTTTTTCCTTAGTTATTTTCTCATGGCTGAGACACAATACCTGGCACTCACAAGTTAGAGGAGGAAACATGTCTTGGCTCACAGTTTGTAGAGTTTTTAACCCACAGTTAGCTGGTTCCATGGCAGGGCAGCATGGCAGAGAGGGCTAGCAGGGGAGAAATGGTCTACTGCTAGGCAGCCAAGAGACAGTAAACAGCCAGCATTCTGGACTTTTATCTTATCCAGGCTGAAATCCTATTGGCTGATGTCACCCACAGTGAACTATACTAAACCAGTCAGTGGATTAATCTAGCTATCACACATACTTCAACCATTTTCACATACCCTAGATCCAGCCACCTCTGAAAAGTCCCACCTATGAGTGCATGAGTATTCTGGAGGACATCTAGATATAAGTCGTGTCAGGTCTTAACTTCAGAGACTGTGGAGAAGCAGTAACCGGATGTACTGAGTGAATTTCAGGTTGTCTTTTAGTTTTGTAGTTCTCTAAATTATTGCAGAGCAGAGCACCTTTGGGACACAGGGAGATTTGACAGAGGTGTATTGATAGGTTCTAATCTTGGGAAGTTTAGGACAAAATAAAATGAGAGCTGATCAAGAGATCAGGAGCACTCCATCCCAGGGCCACTTCTCCTGCCACCTAGAATCCTCTTCTCTGCAGTGGTAGCACAAGCTAACAGAATCCCTGGACAGTGTATAAGAGGGGGTTTTAATGAGAAAATGTGCTGGGGAAAGTTATCTTTCTAAGAAGAACAGTGACAGTAGTATATGAAGATTATAAAAAAAATTTTTGGTCACAAATAGGCTAACTTCAGAGCTCCCCCGATCCATATTCATCCTGACACTCTTCCTAGGAGGTGCTCCAATAACTTGATGAAAGTCTCACACATGATTTTGATTCATTTTTGTTTCCCAGGCCACCCCTGCTGTAGCTCTTTCCACTGGAAACCAGGATCTGGATTGCATTTAACTTTCTTCACAGCTTTCTACCTGGATTTGGAATAATGCTCTTCACACTAGTTTTCCACATGTGGGAATTTGGTATGGAGTAGAGAAAGATGAAAAATTGTCTATCTTTCCATTTCCAGCATAGCCTTTACCAGGCCAGCATCCACGCAGACCTTGTTCATATGTAGAACTCGAAGCGTTCTCCCAGTCAGACAAACCCAGGTCTAGTAACCTACAGAGGTCTTTCTGGATTTCAGAGACAGAATCCCAAGTTTTCTAGAAAAATACACTGAACTGCAAAGCTCAATTCTGCAGCCACAACCTGCTGCCCCCCATTAAGATTCTGGCCACTGCCAAACATGGAAGGTTTAGAAATTCAATTTTCCCTGACAATTCAGCTTCAGCTCCTTAACAGGAAAAACTACTTTATTTTCTCTCTGGCAAAGAGGAAAATTTTTGTTGAGGCCATAATGGTTAATGGTGGTATATGCTTCATCAAGGGAAATATTTATTTAGAGATTGTTGGGCTATTGACATGCCATTTTTTTAATCTAAAATTAAAACCATCTTTATTTGATATTGTGTCATTACTCCTATTTATTATCAAACCAAACATTCAGATCCTCAGAAGACTAAGCCATCAGCCAAGCAGAAGAGACTGACTAAAAAGGACAATGGGCGGACAGGAAATCCGAGTTTTATCAAAGAAGCTGCCTTTAAAAAAGCAAGATGATTAAAAATTAGAGGGTTGTGTCATGGTTTTACAAGAAAGGAATTAGAAAAGCTATGTTTCAGTGGTGACATGATGATAACTGTACCACATCATTCACATTCAGGATCTTATTTCATCTCAACAAAACTTAAGAGTGTATTGATTTTATAAATCAACAAAACAAACAGGGCAACAAAATCTAGGTACTCAGAAGCTCTGCTAGTTTCTAAGTGAGAAGAAAACTGCTACTTCCCCTACTCAGTATAACCGTGGCACGTCTCATGGCTTAAAGAGAATGTGGACCCCCAAGCACAGCCATCTCTGGCCTCTTTCCTAAGGCTGCTGGGATGATGACAGTGTCTTGCACAGAGCCCTAGTCATAGCCTAAAGTCACTATCCAACTTTCACATGCTTGCCTGGGGTACATGACCAAGTCACATGTGTGATTTGAGACCTGTGTCCCAGTGAGAAGAACTTACATCACATTGACAATTTTCAGTGGTAATGCAGGTATTATCCTCCCACAAGAGTAGAGTCTATTGGGGCTATCTTGAGGCATTTTACAGTCTAATAACTTAATGGAAAGAAGGTAGGAATGAATTGACTTCTAAGAAAACTAGAGTCAGATGCCCAAGGACACTCTGAGAGTGTGCAGTATCTCCCTTCTCTCTCTCTCTCTCTCTCTCTCTCTCTCTCTCTCTCTCTCTCTCTCTCTCTGATATCTACACATCATCCTTATTCCGTTGCTGCAGTCTGGTTTGCTCCCATGGCAAGAGACACATTTTCCCTCCCGCGGAGAGCAGCTGACTCACAGCATTCTGGCCCCAGGTTTAGAAACTGGCTTATCTGTGTAGGGCATCCCACCCACTCACGGTCCTTCACCAGAGGTCAGAAATCCAGATCTGCAGGATCACGGAGCACTCATGCCCATAGCATAAACTAAGCGGGAAAAGATAACATCTCAGAACAGAGAGGCTGCTGGGCAAACCAATACTTGCAACATATTGCAGAAGGGCACCGCCTTGATGCCAGGGAGAGCTTCTGGGAAGTCTAAGGTCAGCCTTGCACTATCCTAGGAATTCTGTTACAAACTCCAAGTAAGTGACTGTCAAGAATTCAGAGCACATGTGCACTCGCTTATTCATTGCTCGGACATTTACTAGTACTAAAATAGAAGAAATGCAAGAATAAGATATGATCCCTGCCC